ACGAATCTATACCGTCATCCGGCAATACAAAGTTGTTCGTAGTAGATATAAATACCACTGTAGAGCTATAAAACGTGGTAGTTGAGAAAGAAATGATACTTGTTGGTTTGCCTTCTCTTAGTGAATTGCCCCATTGTGTTACTTGATAAGTGGAATTTAAACAAATAACGCTTAATGTTAAATGACCTCCCTCCTTTTATGTGATTTAATTCGGACTCTTAACGATATTCACAACATGTGATGACGTGAACATGGAAGAGTGAAATTTAGTCACAGCAGCAGGCTATAACTTCATATATCACGTTATTTGAAATGGCGCAGGATTAAGTATTATTTACTGCTAGGAGTCTCGAGCACAAGTATATAGACGCAATTAAGCAACCTTTTAATATTTTTCCTATAGTCCAGGTAAATGAGACATTATTTATTCTGGAATTCATGTCAGATACCACTGACTTTTCTTACCATAACCTCGTAAAGGAGACTCATGGCGATTGGTGATGTTTCTTGATGTCGATGGTAATAGGCTCTGACATATACAGCATCTCCAGGAAAGCCGCTCACAGCATGTCTGAGAATTACTGGCGAATGATTATATGGCATAGACGAGGCAAACGTGGTGCATATTTTCCGACTAATAAGGCGCCCTGTCGGTGAAATACCTCGTTCGATATCTGTTAGTTTAGGTTTACGATTTGTTAGTAAACAGAAAAGACAACCATGTAGCATTCATACAAATTCTTACTTCTACATTCCATTTCCCACTTTAGTGTACTTTTTGTGCCACTGCTTTTTACCAAAGCGAGAAAAAGTGGTTTCGTTGGACTTTTTAAAAACTCATGGTATCACGACGGTAAGTTAATTTATTTCACCAATCTACTGACCGACGTATTTTAGGCAGTTCGAGGCTGACAAGACAGCATAAAAACAAAAATTCTCTTTTATTTTATAAGGCTTGCTGTTTTAGCTTTGTTCATGTGTTAAAGCCAACAAAAGAAATAGTGTAGACAAATCAATGATAATTCCAAATCATGAAACAATGTACAACAGCAACCACCAAATTCTTCCTTGCTTTCTAGTTCACTCGAAAAACTTATAACAATTCTTTTTCGCTATTAAATTTACACTAAGGAAAATTGGAGATACAGATTTAATACAACTTAACGTGGTAAAGGCTTATCGTACTAGAATTTCTCCATGATATCCGATTTTTGGATTGTAAGTTATGTTATCCAGGTTGTCACGGGTGTTCGATCTTAAAAAGCAGCAGCCACGAAAAATGGTAGAGACCGTCATCATGGCTACTGCTTAACTCCAGAAATCTATTAGGTTACCTTATTTTCGGAAAATTCAATAACTTCGATCTAAAAACACACTAGTACTTTCAATCTTAGATGGAAGGACGTTAATACATGACGTCCACAGTAAATGGAACGTCAAGACACGAAAAACAACCAAGACTCTTTTTTTGAGATATGAAACAACTTACCTGCTTCAAAAAAGGCTAGTCAATTCATACATACAAAATTCAGAATAATAAATAGCTTTCTTTAATGTAATAACACGACAAAAGGTACATAAACTGCCTAGTAAACAGACTATCAAGAGAAAAACAGAAGAGATAAAAATCCAGAAAGGAAAAATCAACAAGACAAACACAAAGTGAGCCACACCAATTGATAAAAAACAAATGAATGGTATCAGAAAAAGTTGATTTTCTTGTCTTTTTTTGAAAATGCATGATTGATCTCTTCTTTTTCTGTACACTGCAGCAGACAAATGAGACACAATGTAACAACAATAGTTGCTTAGCAGTAAAGTATTAGTAATTAAAACGGCTGTCCTTCAATGATCGCTAGCGGAATAACGAGATTACAGACCTCAAAAGTAAATAAGTATCAAAATGCAATGTGTAGACAGCTTTATAAAAACAAAATACCATAACAGTTCACAATAACAAACAGTAGTACATAGAATTAAAGTATTATAATTCGTTAAAATAAAAGCGACATCAACAGTAAGATATTGCAGATGATGAAAAATGTGTTCACCAGTTCAACTGACAGGTAGGAAAGAAAAATAACCTGTTCATGCGAAAAATAACGAAGGGTAGGGGCAGAAATGCGTAAATCAACAGCACAGAGAAGTGAGATACACGGAACTTACTCTTGTATTCTTTAATAATAAAACAGAATAAATGGTTACCATAAAAAAGGAAGTGGTAAACATGCGCATGTATACGCACATCTCTGTACATATATTTAAGTTACATGATGATGATTAATTATAATTATTAATATGGTAGTAATAATAATGCTTTAAATGTCTATTCGTAATGCAAATGCAAAGAAAACAAATGAAAAAGCAAAGAATTAAATAAATTAGTGTATATAATGCATAAGTTATAGTAAGCAAGCAAAATGGTATTGTGCCGTAATCTCGAATAAATAATGAAAAAAAGAGAAAATGATTTTTCTTTTTAAAGTAGTACCAGTAGTAATCCTCAGATGACAACAATAATGATAACCGAAGTAAACAAAATTATTGATTCCAATTATGATAACAATACGCGTTTATAATAATAGTAATAATAACAATAATAATAATAATAGTGACGATAAAAACAAATAATCTTCGCTAGCAAAGATAGTAATAAAATGAAATTATTTGATAATATGCATCTCTATATGAGAGGGAAGATTTAAGTTATCTATCATCTGTAGGATATATACGTCTACTACGGATGCTATAGATTTCTGTATTATTTTTGATGTAGATTATGATGACTGTAGTTCAGTAGATTAAAATTAAAGTAAATTAAAAGAAAATGATTATTGCGACTGAAATTATAAAGACGCTTCAACAACAACAATAAAATAATAATAATAATAGTAATAATTGTAGTGATAATAAATAATATTAAAGGAGCTTGCTTTTCAAAAGTAAAAATAACTGCTGCTCAAATTAACCATCATGATCAACAAAACAGATAAAAACACATCAATTTTGAACATCAGGTGATGTAAGGGGAGCTGCCAAACTTTTTCATGTAACCGGAAACGATCAACTATTAGTGGTCTAACATCATCCTGAAAACGTAAAAAGAAATAATAGTTGATATGTAAAATCATTGACAAAAGCCAATTAACTCATAGGTGGATCGACAAATGGTCACAATAATAAACTATCCTGACGAATAATAGTGGTGGATACAAACTTCGTTTACTAGGCTATGAGGTTGTGAACTTTAATCGACTGAAATGGCTTGGACACGTAATGTGCATGCCGAGCCACTGTCTACTCCGACGTGCAATGCTAAGGGAAGTTAGATTAGGTTAGAAGAGAGTTCAAAGTGATCAGACCACCGAGATATATGAGATGTAAACTGACTGATTAGGATCCATAAGATGAAACGCATCACTGGTTGAGGACTCTAAGTGACATGGCTGAAAATCGGTCACAATGGCGCAGATGTATTAACTCCTTGACATCTTTTAAAGTTGAATATTTTCACCATCCGTTATGTTTAGATTGTTTATTCACAGAAAAAATTTTGTCTACTTCGTTTTCACTCTTTTTCTATCCACCTGCTTTTTGTATACTACTGTAAACTGTGGCAACTTGAGCCAGCGCACTTGTGTGTGAGGCTCTATGCTGATTCTGTCTGTTCGACTACACTACGAGCTACATTTTACGTATGACGATGGAGTATTTCTAACAAGCGACGCATTGGTTGGAAGTAGAGTTGACACTAATGTACCATATCTTAAAGAAAACATATTAAAAAATGAAAATATTATATGATAATCCATAGTAAAGTGGCTTTAAAAAGGCAAACAAGTTGTACGCGAATTACCTACAACGGTTAAGAGAAATTCGATGGTTTATATCTATATCTACGAGAATTATTAGCATTAAGAAAAACTAAGAGGTGAGAAAAGAAATAAAGAATCTTCATTCATTTTCTTTACTAATGGCTTTCAAGTATGGGTTCTAATATCATGCATAGATCAAATGAATAGTACTCATGTCAAGCATCAAAGTTATAAGTATAGATGACAAATCAGTTGTAAATATTTACGGATTAGAAAGGGCTAGAACGCGTACACCCGGTTCTGTAGGACAAAGCACTCGGAGCACTCAAAATAAAGCATCTAGCCAACCTACAGGGTCATTTATCGTTCATCGAGAAGGCAACCTACCTACTTGTGATTAGACGCATGTAGAACCTACGGTTGAAAACCTTAGGTGGTATAACAGAAGAAATATGGGAAATATGCAGACCACTCACTTGCTTACCCTTTTTATTTCCCTTACGATGTTGTGAAGTTAGGAACATTTGATGACTAGATTGAATGCTATGGTCCCCCCCCCCCCCCAATCATCTGTAAGGACTGCTGAAGTCTGTCAAGTCACAGATGTATTTGAAGATTCACAATCATTTCACCTACAGGGAAACAGTCATCCACTAGGAATTATGAGGCATCTTGGTAAATGAGAACAACTCGCAAATAAATATACATAACCTCTTATTAATTCACCCCTAAGAGACTTTTAGGGAAATAAATATGATCTCAAATTATGCAATCACTCACGGCTTTAGTTATTTCTTTCAAGAAAGGGATTAATTTTAATAGTTCACTGTCATTCGAATCGACAAACCAACTCTCAATCGGAACACCATTATCCAACTAGAAATCATTTGAAAATGCAAAAAAAAGTTTAATTATCAAAATTATACTTATCATAAAACGCTTAAAGCTGTGAACGAACTGAACTAAAACCAATTTACGGTAATGTGTACCAGTTCAAAGAAAATGAATGAATATATGATAATTGTATTTATTTATACACTACTGTATGCAAATACATGTAAAAAGAAGTTATACATGTCTAGGTCTAGATGAATAAAAGTCAGTATTTATACACTTTGACTCCGAAATGATAGTAAATTGAAAGCTTTTAAATAGAATCCTAAGGGGAAGAATCCCGACGGACTTTCACGATGAACAAAATTTTAGATGCCAACTTAAGCCAAAACCATATTGCCCAGATCGATTTGATATTACACATAAGTGAAAATCGTTTCTACAGCAGTCATCTGGGCAAAAGGCGCTGAATACAATGAGAAACTGACTGTTTATCAATCAAATGAAACAAAGGTAAGGGTCCAATGGGCAGAAATGTTACGAAATAGTGATCCATTAAACAGATTTACTACATCCCTTAAAAGATAGAAATAGATTGACGCTGAGAAGCAGTACGTCAATCTGCTTTCAATGTAACAGCCTACTCGCGTGAAGTAAAACACCATCACTTGCAGAGCTGGATGAATTCAACATTCTCTTGCATCCTTTGACTACGGTCTTTCTTAACACTTTCGCAGCCACTACTTAACTGTAATTATAGTGATGTATACAGAAAAGAGGAAAAGGTGAGTAAAAACAGCATTTTAATATCTTAGTGCAATTATTATACACTAAAACATGATCTTCAAATTACAAGGTAATATAGCAGGAGTTAAAGGATTCATTTCATTTCGTACGATCTAAAATTTATGGATATGTCCCAATTTCTAATTATGAATACAATTTACAAATGTTGCTTCTTGGAGTCAAATGTAAACTTTCCTGAGAGAATTCATAATAACGAGCGTTTTTTTCATAAATACAATGATATAAAGTTGATGAAATAATAATAAATATTTATCAATTCTACAATTCTCAAGAAAACCAAACCTACCTGATAACCGAACGCCTGCGGAGAATTATCAATAATCACAGTTTTGCGAAGATCTCGGCCAAGGACACGTAGGTCCTTCACATAGTTACCATTGACACAGACACAGTGTTCACGAAATAGTCTATGCCTAAAATGATGAAAAAATAGTCTTATATCCTCACAAAGTAAAAATGACTAGACATGCGGCTCATCAGTTTCATGAATTTGATGAAAGCTTAAGTTTCCATTCATCTCACATATCCAAAAGCTTAAGGATTTTGTAGCGGGTGGAATACTTATTCACTAACACACAAACTATTAGAGGGTCTAGAAGCAAAACACTTAGTGAAGAGACTTAACTACATATACACTGATATTAAACTCTAACTAACGTAAAGCAAAAGAAAACTGGAAGCTTTACAACCGAACATGAACTAATGAATCGATGGTACCGAAAGTCAAAATAATCATAAACTACGTGAAATTAAATTCAGTCGTACAACACACGAAATAGGTAACCAAAGTTATCCACATAAAAATGAAAAATAAATTACACACTCACTTAATCCACTTCTTTTTAGGATCAATCAAATTAACAAGACGATCGGCATAAACTTTTGTACTAGCTGTAAAAAGTACAACTTCGAAGAACTCAGATACACTGGAAAGAAATTCATACAAATGTGGTCGAATACGGACGTATACCTGAGGTAACGAAATTGAAATAAAACAAATTCATCACAAGAATAACTGGCAGTTTGGGAAATACAAAAACTTTCTGACAAAATTATTTAGCAGGAAGTTAAACACCTTAAAACAGTAGTTTTTGGTGCAAACAACAAATTAATAGCGAGCAAAATGAGTTAGCGGAATTAACAATCTTAATATCAATGGTGTGTAGTGGCTAGTGATGGAATTCAGGACGTGCTTTTTTTCCCATTCGAGACTCGTCAGCTGGATGTACCTGCAACCCCCCCCCCAGTGAGCGGTGCTGTCCCCACCAGGACCCGAACTCGAGGCCGACTGCTTAGTTTAGATTTGCTGGCAGAGATTAAAACATTGTTCGGTAATTAATCATTTCGTACTACTTCTTGACCATATTACCATGAAATTTCTTCTGTTCTAGCTCAATTGTAAATGGAGGCAGATACCAGCTAGGTGTGCATAAAGCAGGTCGCATTATTTCAAGTAATACATTGTTACGGCATTGATTGACAAAGCTTACTGACTTTGAATTGCACCCAGTATTTACAGGATTGCATAGTAGTTGAGTGATATACCATCTGAGAGAAACTGGTGACATACTGCCTATGGTATATTATACATCTTTGACAATCATGGTGCACAACCATAAAAAATAGAGTGGGTTAATATGTACTGTTCATCATTACAAAGAAACAAGAAATTTTGCAAACTAGTTAACCGGCTTAAATAACTGCTTTCTCCATGACGGCAACACAATCAATGCAGACATGGAAAAATGACGAAAGGAAGGAAGATAAGTACAACCAGGAAAAACCAGGCATATTGAATACATTTATACTACTATAATCGATTTCAAAACTGTAAACCAGAGACCTTGAAGTAGAAATGTGGTCATGAAGCAGAAATGATAATAAGAGGATTATTCGACCTGCAGTAAGTGAACATAACACTGTGTGGTGACATGGAGACTACTGAAATTGCACGTATTCAGTGGACAATCAGAGTCAATCGAACTGCAAAACGCTTTTGTAAGTTTCGTACGAGTCTTTAGTTACTTCCGGTGGGAAACCCCTGAAATTAATCAGTGGGAAAGCTCATGCGTCTAGGTAGCTTAGTGAGTGCTAGTAGTGTGACTGGCGATATCAATCTTCGAGTAACGAAAACCTAAAGGATATCAGCCAAACTTGATCACTTTTGGCACTATCACTATGTTAACTTCACTGGAAAAAGTGGATTGTAGAACTCTTCGATGCAGATAATTTCATTCTGCGCCACTGAAGTATACGTCTGATCATTACTGTATCCAAAAGATTGCTTGGACTTGGTGGCAACATAGTTTTCATAGTTTTCGCGCAACCCTATTAGACTTTTTTATTCGATAAATGGTCATCTATACATGTAGAATGAGAAAACTCATGTAGAGTCATCTGAGATCAAACAGAAAGTATCAATGACCAAGTTGATGCTTTCTTTACTACAACCCCAAAATGTCAGAATGTGGCGTAGTTATCATGCACAATAAACACCGGCTTTTGATGGTTTACAGATATCGTCATTACTAAACAGATTCGCGAACTCACCATGTATACAACACCTTGAAAACAACTTGGAAAATGAACTGAGCATCCAAAAGAGGGTTTAAACTACAGTGAACTAAAGTTTCATCCAAATCAAGGACTAAGCAGAATTCTGGAGAGGAACGAGTTCTTTTCGGTAATGCAGGCGGACGACAAATAACATCAGAAGGTAGTGGTGGAAGGCTGCGTATGAAAGCGTACCTAAAATGCAAAATGAATAAGAAGGATGGGTAGTACCATGGGCATAAAGAGATTTTTGGAGATTGTACAAATGTGATATATATTCGCGTACTAGGTCATGAGGATTTATGATACTAAGAAGGTTACCGAAATGGAGCTGGGTTTGGACCCGTGACATATTGGCTGAAACTGAAGCGCGACGAGTCACATCGCTTATACATAAGTGTCCGCGGAAATGTTGGTTTCACTATGAAAACTGCTGATTTTTCATGAAATTGTATAACATCCCACTAAAATGATACAGCTGTATTTACTCCTTATTAAACTTGGAAGTTGTACGATCTATTATAATTCACCTTTTGGTTACCATACCTTCCATTTGCTAACCACTTTTGGGATGATAACTGTAGCAGGCTAAGATTATCTGTTGTATCACATTGTAAACAGACTGATAGTTGAAAACGTCAACTCACATAGCCACTGTCGAAACCGACCAGGTCAAGCGATTTGTTTCCAAGAATAACAGGAAATCAATCTGGGTTATATCTCTAGCATGCTAGGACTTGAACTTTCATACTCAGAAAAGCTGTGTTAAATTTGTATGTATACATAACACTACTGGCCTCACAATACCCTGCCAAAAGTAATGAGTGCTTAAGAGAAGTGAAGAAAAATAACAGTGAAGAATATCTTCACAATTCTGTGATGCCTATCAAAAATTGTATGCAACAGTATGTTCAAATCCCCCTCAGTGTATAATGAAGTTTTGCTATTCAGTATGGTTCAATTTCGAGGTTTGCGGCGGCTTATGTATTGATTTCAGGTCGGTAATCAAGATAGTGACAGGAATTCATGATATTTGCAAATGTGAAAACTTACGCATCAATTTCTTCAAAGTCTGTATCGTCACACTCTTCGATTGCCGAGATTTCCGTAGACAGTTCTTGTGGAGGAGCAATGGAAGACGAAGAATCACTCGGTTCACTTTCTTCATCAGAATGTTGCACCGTTTCATCTTCGCTGACGAATCCAACTTCACTGAACAAATTAGGTTCGATATCACTAGGTGAGTCTTTTTTCTGAACTGAATTACTCATCAATTTGGAGAAAGAATATTGTTCAGAGCATTCGATAAGTGCAGCATTTGAATCCGGTTTCATGGATGCACAATGGTTTGTGATTTCTACTACCGGTTCTGTTTTCAAAGTAACTGGTGGTTCAAGTACCACATGATGATTCTCTGAAATATCGTAAGTTTGACAGTTGTAAAAAATCTTTTGGCTGCTAACAGCCTTAGAAGTGGGGTCAGGAATACATGATGATGGAGTAATGTCCGTATAGTCTAAAAAGCTGCTATTAGTATAATGAGTCTCTATATGAGATGAACTGTGATGATGATAACAATCTTGGACCTGAATAACTGTATCACCCGACAACTGCAATGTAACAAGAAATATTCAATTAAAAGCAATGAGACTTAAATCAAGTCAAACTAAGCCCATATCCAATCAGTTAATAATAATAAATAATAAATAATTTGTGGTGGCTACATTCACCAGAAGTTTATTTAAGGTAACAAGTGTTCCACAATATAACCGCGAGCTATTTGACGAAAAAGTACTTGTTTGGTAAGCAGAGCAGAAACAATAAATCGCAGATCAGAGCACAGATAACAGCTCAACATTTAAATTCCCGAAAGTATACAAAACACTTGAAAGCATCATACCATGTCGTACTCTTATGAAGATCGATAATAAATATACATGTCCATCAATCCAAACCAACATCCAACAACATAGGCATTACTGCGTAACAGCTCGAGATGCCACAGCTCATTACAGCACATTAAGTAAAAAGCAGTGAGATGGAAGATGGAGAGAAGAAAATTCAGTCAAAAGAAATATAAGGTACTAAAAGAGAGAAAGGAAGAATGAGAAAATAGTGAAATTCAGCATAGCGTTATGATGAGGATAATGTGTGTATACATCTGCGTCACTGACATCGGTTCTGAGCCATGTCACTAAATACTCCATATCGTAATTTTAATGGTATTTAAAAACCTGAATATAAATCCAGGGAAAGCAGCTGTAATGCTGTTATAATTATAGAATACTGAAGGATGCTGCCGAACGCCCAATGTTTTCTATTGGAATGATCCTTATTGTTTAACTGTCAACTGATGTAAGTAACGATGACTGGCCGATATTATGTTCATCTAATAAGGTTTATATTGACTGTCATAATAAAAAGTTGAATTTATAAACTTCATTCATTTGAAGATAGTCTATACTGAATCGACAACAGCTGAAAAATCACTAGAAGTACGACGATACTCGGTAACGACTTTTTTCCTAAACAAGATCAATTCGCGAATTGCTTACAAATTCGACTGCCTACGTTGACATCTTTCACAAACAAGTAGTTTTTTCAAATGACCAAATGTGGTGGGTTTCCGTCGGGAATCATCCAGGCAGTATCACAAGGTAAGGTCTCTGACACAAAAGTTGTGAGCTGACAAAATATACTACTGAACATGACCAGTTAAGATCTACTCAGAAGCCTATTTCGTTCCTTTTTTCTTGTTTAAAATACACTTGTCTAGGAACGAAACCAAGTGCCTATTTCTTTAGTAACTTTTTTAGTGTTGAAATGGTGATTAGGGATGCGGCAGGTCTTATTTTTCAAATGTCATCTAAATCTATTTGTAAGTAGTTTTATTCACTCCAAATTAAAACAGCTTTTTAGCTTATTCCTCACATCCTGTGACTTTTAGAACCGAGATGAGGTGACCGACAAATAACCTAAAGAGTTTAGGTGTTCCATTGTAGGTATTCTTAATACATAACTGACGTGTATTCCTAGAAAGAAGTTAATAATAACAGTGGGAGGTGTATAGACATCGACAGACAATGTAAGTAAATTGATATGGTCTTCTTTGTACTTCCAATTACTAGAACAAGGTCAGTTGGGTGATTAAGTTGGGTAAAACAGTAGGTGGACGAAGACCCAGCATAAGAACATGAACTTGTTGACTGTTGATCTAGCTAGGATCCCCCTTAACATTAAGAATTACAATTTGGAGCAACTCCTGAACATAGTCAATGTACGTTCAGAACAGGACGGATGAACTCACTCCCCAAAGCTCTGGAAACATTGGAAACATTTACTTACTATATTTACCTTCATATCCTCTCTGTTAATTTTAAAACCTTTACGCTTCTGCCGGTTACATGATGTTGGTGTGTGGGAACATGAACAACTGAACTTCGGCGTAGAGCTTTACACTATTTTGTTAGCGATTTCAACAGACGGCTGCGTAGGTCTACTAAGAGTTGCAACTGATCTTACGAAATGTTAACGGTTCATTAAAATTCGGGAAACTATTCGATTTCCAAATTTCTTTACCTGACTGAAATAAAGGCCTGAGAACGCATAAAACGTGTATGAGGAGTTGATACCAACGAATATGTCGAAACGTAGCTGCACATTATCACTAAACTGAGTAGAAAATGGAATAACTCGTAACATTCTTACAATGACTTGCTTCACATCAGGGTAACTAGTCTCATAAAATAGGATATTGACCCTGTTTCTTGAACACAACGGATGTGAATCGATTGTGTCAACGATACAGTCAAAATAAACCACGTTGTGTGAAACCCATTCGTGTAAGAATCCAAACGACATTGTAAACATCACTAATGGACTACAAAATAGCTAACATACACATTATGGTATTATCACGCAACGGTTGACGTTTCTACACTTCATATTAGAACACCTGGGTGAAAGGCGTTAAGATGGGAGTCAAAGAGAAAAAAGTCAAATAATAATAAGTAAACCAGAAAGAAATTATAAGCAATAATGGAATGTGATATGATGATCACTATGTAGATGAGGTGCAGATGAACCTGTATCACTTCAGATAATACTGATGTCTCGGCCATCAACAAACAGTGAAACTATGAAAAGTACATCCTTGATAGGGATTTTGAGATCTCGCAAATGTCATGACAAAAGCCTCTGGCATTCTTGCTAAACTTTACGTTATCAATTTTTAAGGGCCAATTCAACTTCCTACTGTAAGTTGATTTATAAATGCACACAAGTTCTGAAGCGAAAATTCGCATTTGGGATATCAGGAACGAATCTAAAAACATATCAGAGTGCTCAAAGGACTACATTTTATTGGCGCCCTTGCTTAACAGGGCTATGTCAAACGATTTATACAGAAAACACTCTTGTACAGCAGGAATTGAGTAATCCTTCCTTTACAGAAGAATGATACAAGTAGAGGCAGAAAAGGTAATGAAATAATTTTCAAGACCGACACAAAGTAAATTAACACTTACATTTTCGTTTGTAAGGTCTTCAGATTCCAGAGTTGACGCTTTTTGAAATTGTTGTAAACCGGATTTCTTAACTAGAAAGCGAAAATACACCAACCGAAACATTACTAAACTGACAGAGTTGATGAACGAATAGATGTTTACTGTAAGAAGCTAACCACATAGTGAGATGATACTGAATAGAAGGTACCACTTAGCATACTTAGATCCAAAGCCGTTAGTCACCAATGCTCACACTAGCCTCAAGAATAAAGGCGACAAATGTTTGCACATCTATATCACGTCATGGCGAATTAATGGAAGTTAGTACATAACAAACCAAACATAAAAGCGAAATCAACAGGAAAACATACAAAATAAATCATATGATCGCAAGTCGAAACTTATTACTATATTCCAACTACAGCTGTGACTGGTAACCTACCGTAACAACCCATCCGAGCTGTATTATCTACATTACATTCCCTAAGATGCTACCATGCCAGGAAAGTCAAGTGGAGAACGATGAAGCCAAAGGCAGCTAGTAACATTCCATGACTATTTAATCGGGATACTGCAAGACAGTGAGATACGACGACGAAGTCATATTGTTGTTCATACGGATGTTAAGGTAGTAGCGTGCTTCTCAAGGTTAACTGACATTCCAAGCTGGTGCTATCTTCTCGTTGTCGGAATGAAGTATTAGAAGAGGTCAGATTTGACATTAGCAGACTGCTTTTGGCTTAACGTTCTGATTTTGACGGTACGGATATTGCTTTCAGTGCAAACACAGTAAATTAAATCGATCTGAAAAAATCCCTGTAAGGTGGCGTGTGAGCAACTTTGGAAAGTTGTTCTTTAGACTTTCCAATCAGGTCGACAAGGCAAGTCTAACTAATCCACTTCCTTTTTGAAATACCTTAGAAAGTAACGTTTCGTGGCGTGAGCAACCGAACCGTAACCACATGCACATCTCTATCAGTGTCTAAAGCTTTTATAGTCAACTCACCAAGTCGCCTTCCAAATTTTCTTGGCACCTCTGTGAAAAGTTATTGACCATCTTTAACTTCCTTCAGTCCTGCAGCTCGTTTAACAAATCAAGTTCACAGAATAACATAGCTCGTCACCTGAAACGGCGTGCCAAAGTACAACCTAAGAGGTTTTATTATTTTACACTTCGTTCAGTCGAACTTAAGCTAACCAAAACTGATATTTCGGGCTAGGCACACAAATCAACGCAGAACGTGACATAAGTGCATTATTTTACGTTGCCAACGTGTGCGCAAAGAGGAGGTTGGAAAAAGGACTACATTAAAGTAAACAAAAGTTTACGAGAGGTGAAGAAAGGAAGAAATGGTTAGAGAAACCGCTCATAAATAAGTTTGAAGATAAATTTGTGGCACTTTAATTAGTTTCAAACCATATCAGCAAAAGTTTCTGACCACTGATTTCTACCGTCCCAAGATGCATATCTTATATTTACTTACAGGGCTAAAATCAACAATAGCTCTTTGAATGGGTACCACACCTTAATCTGGTCAGCATCAACTTCTTTCCAGCCTAAGCCTACTTTAGTCCGTATAGTATATCAACATCAATATTGGTTTGGCACGCGTAACACATGTCTATCGCACCTCTATGCGTGAAGATTCACAACCTTATTGACTGAATTATCTTACTTACTTAGTAATTTATGTCTAACTTCAATACCACCCACCTTGTGGTCCCACTACACATGGGAAATGCTATAGACTACCACAGTCAAAACCCTGTAGCCTCCAAGTTGCAAAGCCTCATCATCAATGTAAGATGCAAGACGCTAAGAAATAAATTAATAATAAATAGTAATAAGTACATGAATAATTACTGAATGGTAGATAAATAGAAAAATAATAAATAAATAAAACTCAAAATCGCAGCAAGTCATAAGAAGCAAACAGAGGGTAACGTGAACGACAATATGTGGCATGACAATTAGAGTGGAGAAAATGTGATGCATCTGTGACAGTGCTATCCGCTCTACGCCGCATTAATCAGGGTTCAGTGATTCATCTCGATCACCGCTCATAAACAATGAATGAAGCTCGAAATAACAGAAACCATACGATTAAAAATGAACAACTGATTTAGAGTACCAGAGAAGTCTAGAAGATAGCCAATAACTTCTCACCAGTGTAATGCTATCTTATCGTCTACTTAATCACCTCTAGCAAGGTGATTCTCCCCGGACAAGTGCGGTGCTACGAAAACTCGTCACATACATTAGTCTCTTATAAGGTTATTTAATTATATATTACAGTTGACAAACTAAACAAATGGAAGGCATGAAACAATTTTTGCATTTACATAAAAGAAAAGGGACTATAATGAAAAGTTTCTAAAACTCTCAGGATATGACCTAAATGCACATTTACGCTGGTTGAAGTCGTGTTGCTAACTATAACTGGAGACATTGGTATGTTAGGGATCAAACGTAAGAGTCTCGGTGACAAGGATCAGAATAGATCACTTTGGTACACGCTTTGAAATCTTGAAATGTTTGGATCCATCAACCTATACTTATTTATCCTCCCTTGCAAACTTAAATAACATTTCTTTCTATTCACTTAGTCTTTACGGCTGCTACTACTACTACTACCATAAGGTGATTATGCTGAATTAGTCTAAGTCATACAAAAAGGTTGTCTTAAAGACCCTAATTAGGGAGTCACGCTTCCCCGTATAGTTCGAACTAACAAACCAGGTCTTACGGATGAGTGCCTAATCCTTGTCCAGCTACTGTCGGCTCATACCTAAACTAATCCTACTGCACTTAGCTTGGTGATGTAACGTGTGTGGTCACATCAATGCACTGGGAAGAATAATAAGTATCTTGCTAAGCAACACGCCCAACAACTTAGTAAACGTCTACACGCGTATTTTATGTAAACGTCGAACATAAGATACCAGAGATTACAGTTCACCAGTAAGCGTTTAACATCTTACTGAAAATATTAACTATTTATGATGCCAGTAAGAGTAATGAAATACTTCGAGACATCATCGACAAGTAAAAGTTAAAAATCAAGTTCAAGCTTATTGATCACGCTGATGGCTACATTTGTTGTTTGAGGGCAACATGTGCTATGCTGGATAAGATGTACTTAGTCCAGTGACCAAACAGTTGGGACATCAAACAACTAAACGTAACGCTGTAACTCGTATAAATGCGTCAACTCCCGAACTTAGCACAAGGAAAGAATTGTCGAAAATCATATATCAGAAGGCATAAGTAACGAGGCAACATAAATTAGGAATAATACAAATTAGAAGATTAAATGAATACAACTGTTTTTGTAGTTTTTTTTGAACTTCCACCTACGGTTTTTAACTGCTGGTTTGTGTTCTTGACTCGACAAGAGACGAAAACAAACAATTTAAGTTTTCTTCGTGAATCGATTGCAGATAACCACTGTTATTTTACCCAAGCTTTAATCCGGTTAGTCAATGTGCAGCAAATTTGTGGATTTCCAGCTATAGTCGAAGTGCTTGAGAAAGGCATCGGTCACTGCCTCAATACCTACAGTTGAATTGATATAATTGTCGTAGAATTAAAGCAGGCACACATCATCATCATCATCATCATTATCAACATAGGACCAGGCATTACTGCGTAACGGTCCGAGTTGCCACACCTCATATCAGCACATCAAGTAAAAAGGTAGTGAGGTGAAGGATGAAGATAAGTGAATGCAGTCAAAAGAAATATAAAGTATGAGAAGAAAGGAAAGAGGAGTGACAAAATAGTGAGATTCGGTATAGCGTTGTTAAGATGAGGATAATGTGTGTATACATCTGCGCCACTGACTTCGGTTCTGAGCCATATCACCTAGGGTCTCCAACCACTGGTTCCTCTTGTCCCGTGGACCCCAACCACCTAGTCTGCATCGTCCTACATGGCTTAAACCAAAAGTCAGAGACTTCATACATTGGTGCCATGTTTTAGTCTGGCCACCTCGGGCCTTTTTCCAGCCTGAACCCACCTCAGCCAACATTGTGTGAAGAGGCAATCGGTGACTAGGCATACGTAGTACGTGTCCCAACCATCTCAGTCGATGAAGGTTCACAACCTCGTCGACTGACTTACCTCTTCTCCCTAAAACTCTACACCTAACTTCTGCATTACTCACGTGGTGACACCACGGAATACGTCCTATACTACGAAGGCAACGGTGGTCAAATACCTGTAACCTTCTCATGTCTTCCACTTTCAATGGCCATGTTAAGCAGGCACACAGCCTAACGAAGATTCTATAAGTCAATTTCTTTTATATGCTAGACAACTTCGAGCGGTCTCAAAAAACACCAACAAGCATACTCTTCACGTATTCTTAGTGAAGCATGAGTGATAACGGCGACTGTTAGAGAAGTGTCAAAAAGTCATGGGTCCTTAAAATATCAGCTCGAGAGACAATTATAGTAAATTTAAAGCAAAATGCATGTGCGTGCTAATGTACTAAGGAACAACCATATTCGAAATGCTGGGTTAGTGAAGCTACCTAACGAAGTATGAAGCTGAGACTGTCAGTGAAATCAGAGCACCTAAACCAATGAATCAAACAAACCCCCACCTTCAGATAATCCAAAAAAACCAAGTTGACCGTGGTGTCAGCTCTGCTTTACATCCTACCTATCAAGATGGAACCTGGCAGTACTATGTGACAGTTCAAGCTGCTACTGATTTTATTTCATTAAAACCACATACTAGATACCAAATAAGCACCAAGTGGATGCCGCCTCATACGAAATAATATAGCAACCTCACAGAGATAAAGGTTAGATGTCGGGAGTCAATCGGCAGGAAGCCCTGAAACATTGGTTTCATGCTTGATGACACTCATCAGCAAGGAGCACCTGCAACCACAAGGTAACGTGTTCCCTCAGTGATTCAAATGTCACTCCATACTGACGTCAGATAGTTGACCACTGAGCTATTCAGGTGACATTTGCTCTTCAGCAAAACTGGACTGTGTACAGGAAATGGTCAACAGTGGATAACGGATGCAGCTATCTGGTCCTCAGTGCTTAGCATTGGTCAAATTTTGTCGACCAAGTTTTCCAATATGGGCACTAAGCTGAGTAATGCGACAGTGATACTGTATTTCGGTGTTAGATGTTACGTGAGAGTTTTAGAGCCCTATCACGGTGCTCCATCCAAAATCCGAGTGGATAATGGTCAAAAGAATAGTAGCCGAACTTCTCGGTGTTGCATCCATAGATTCAGTCTCCCCTGCGGGTGAATCGCAGACGCTATTCTCTCTCCTGTAGTCTCAACTAACTATTGACCTTTATGTCCTGGTCTAAATCTAAATAATTGTCTACTGATACCTGTCGCTTTTCCCTCCCATTGGCCTTAGCCGCCCCCCGGCCGTCCACATCATGGGAAGCTACTTTTTGAGCTACCTGAAAAAGAAGTTGGGTTAGTTATGGTGATGCGTAGTTTGTCTGAAATGTAGGTTTGTTAGCTTTGAATTTAGTTGTGAATCCATACCGCCGGCACCGGAAGACAGCACCGTAGAGGGGGAGCGCTGTTTTAGGGGTCGATCATTTCTACACACACTCCTTACTTCCCATCAGGAAAGCAGCACTACCATGGTACTGCTGTTCATTCACTGGTAACACTTCTGCTGTCTGTTACATCCCTATTCAATCAACAGTAAACTTCCCCTTCGGAACCCGTAATAACGTAGAAGTTCACACTATAATGGTGACGACATTTTGCTTCTCCAGTATCCAGTTGACCTCAAGGGAACGAGTGTCCTACCAGTATAGCTTCTCGGATCATCGTAATATGAAAGCCCAACCGCTACGTCCAGGTGGCAACCATGGCTCAGACCCCCCCCATTACATTTTTCCAAGCTAAACCTATTATGGTTAACAGTACGTCACACGAGACAGATGCGTAACACATGCCATAGTGATACAGGTCGACGAAGGTTCACAATCTCACCAACTGATTTACCCTATGACCGAGACTGCTCGACCCCCAAAATTACTAGTGTTGGTTCCACGGCACACGGACAACGCTGGGAAAGTAATGGTAGCCGAAAACCTGGTCTAACTAGTTGGTGGAACTACAGAATTTTGATGTCCTGGAGTGACATTTAAATGACCTTGAAGTGGTCAACTATTTTGCAGTGAATATGTGGTCTGTCTCGAAAGTTATGAATTGAAGAATGCTGTTGATTATGCACAGGTTCATGGAGAATTCAGTTGATGACAAGATCGGAGTGAAATGTTGTTCGTATGAGCTTCTTGCACTATTTGTTAGTCTTGTGAGAGTTTCTGTGTCTGTATTTCCCAAAAAAGGGAATCATGAACAAAAAGCTCACAGGATTATCCGACAATATAAGGCTGCATATCTTAAGACCTAACCACATGTATTTCAACTCCCTAGTACATAACTACGGGTGGGTTTGTAGCGCACATCACGTGGTAAGACAGAAAACAAAGAGTAAGCAAGTTCTTTTTCAGTGACAGTGTAGAAACAAACTTTAAATCCTGTACTTTGAGACGTGCGTATGTACTCAAAATTTAACTTATGAGCCCTGATACCTAATTTTAATTCTCAAACTTCAGTTTTCAAATCTTTCTACAGGAGTTTACACAAGTAATGCAGAAGTAATGAGATGCCACTTGGAAGCTTATTTACTTCTATATCAAAGTTCAAATGGCTCGATGTTATTCAGTTACATAGAATAATATCTTTATCATGCGTACTTCCAATTCAGGCAGTAAGAATCTTTCAGAAACCAAGATAAATTCCTAAACATCAAAAACCGCTAGAATTTTACATTGGCACTGAAAATTATGCAAGTCTCACAAAGACGGTAAAATTACGTGATCCTATTCATTATTTTACACAGCTTTCCGTGTTGCTGAACCTAATATTTTAAGCACAAGTCACAAATACATCCACATACATAAGTAGTTTTAGTCACACGCGGTTGTGTAAAAATCTTGGACCGAAGGACAAAGCACTGATATGACTTCAACAAAATTACGGAGGGATATTTACGCAATTAGAATCCAAAAACAGCCTGAAACGCCGACATGATTAAAAACGCCCATCCTAGAAGCTGTCACTACGGGACTTGTCATCAATTCTTTGGCTATCAAAAGTGCAGCACCTGGAACAAAACACAAATTAGAACTGTTCCTCATGAAAAAGTACACAGAAGGATGAGCATACCACCTTGAGCTGAACTATACGAACTTAAGTCGGACTTCAGTAGAGCATAGTAAAAGTAGAAAACTGTCAGAATCAACAGAGAAGCGTTGAGTTAAATGAAACATATGTACACACTTATGTCAGTGTGACCAATTTCGGGTCTCCTCACAAGCCAAGCAAACTACACTTCATTACCATATTCACCACAACTCAGGTGACACAGCCAATACTTGAGCCGACAGCTCCTATTATAACCACACCGCATCAGTTTTGTGTGAGATTTACCTGTTACGCAGTAAGAAATACCATGGCAAAGAAGGCTAGTTGGTGATATACATGCGTCGGTGCTGGTTTGACACACAGTAAGTTACTACCTATGGTTGAATCAGGCAGTACTTTATATTCACCTCTTCAGCTGATGATTAGTTATAATTAATAACATATATACCAACTCAGCACAAATTCACTGTAAGTACCTATGAGGTATTGGGTAAAAAAGGTCCACAGACTCCGACGAAATGTTTGTAACTGCTTAGGTTGACAAACGTTTGGCACAAAAAACCAAAGAAGCATTTATGGTAATCTTCCTACAAGTTGCCAAACCATCTTCCTATTAACAGATATGTAGCAAAATACAAAATCTGCAATGACCTGGAAGACGTACATGAATAAACTAGAGGCTAAATTTACTCTCGAGTAGCAACACCCATACCAAAAGTTCTGAGCTTTATACCACTACTATCGATACGCTGGACTAAACACGTACTGTTGTTGAATGTGAAAACTTAATTCCTAAATCTAATTGCGATGCCGCGTAGAAAACACAACATTTGCCGTTATTACTTCACATACCTACTTATCAGACAACATGCTTCTGAAAGGTCAGCAGTTCTGAAAAAGGCCGAAGGAGAACACGGCCTACTAAGTTACTGGGCGTGTGGAATATCGTAAGCCCAAGTCGAAAATGATAACAACTAGGACACACCCAACGCTATATATATCTGATAGTGAAAATTATTTCAAACAGTTTACGTACAAAAGTTGATACCGAATTTAACTCACGCGGTCGTCGTCCTGCAGCAGATTTGCGGCTGGGATGCTTGGAGATATGCAGCTTTTGGCGCTTTTTAATCCTGGATGATATGGATTTCGAGACTTGCCTCTTTGTGGAACAGCTTGAATTATTAAGACGCCTTGCCGGCCAGCAGTGTATTTTTCGTAACATTGCGATACAACGAAATGTGTGGGCTTGCGTTTTGAACTAGAATAATACCACCATGAACTGAACTAGCTAATTTAATGCAATTTATAGTAGATGCAGAGGTATTTTCAACGAATTAAGGGTAAGAAGTACTATTCCAATATTTCGAAGCGTATGCCAAGATGATAACGCTAACAGTGGGCATAAAGTATCACATCTCAGACACTAAATTACGACAATAAGTGATTATTTCCATGGCGTGAAGGTTACATTAGACGCTCAGTCACTAGCGCAGCTGACAACCCTCCCAAACCACAATGCACCAGAATCCAATTTGCAAGCCGTTTGAATCGTAGCGACAAACAATTCCAGACTGATATAAACAAACCAAAGGAGCTGATCTGTGGACTGCTTTTGATTAACTGCCTTATTTCCAGTTTTTAATACATTTTTTTACTTCACTGAATAACTTCGGCCTCATTTTGATGTCACTAATAGTTTTTGCTAGGAGGGATAGAATTGGGATTTTCGATATTACTAGATATCCCACGCTTCGACATAACGGTTATGAAGAAACTCCTGAGTGACAGTCATTGAGCATACTTTTGGAGAAGGAACTTGGTGATCTAAAGAATGCTTGAAAACCCAAATACCCGGAAAATCCACTACGAACGGCGCGTATGTAAATCCTTTAGGAATGACTTGAGAAAATAATGACACCGAACGTCTTATGAAGGATAAAAGATGATGTCCCCCAGACCAAGGTTGGTCAAAGTGACCTCCTCGTCCTTCCAAATTTCAGCACTCACCTTGGAGGCATTCTAGGCAAATATATGCAGCTTGTAGTCATGAGTTCGGATGCAGCAGGACAGGTTGCAGAACGAGAGGTTACTAAGAAAACAGAAGCCTAGGGATGGTGTGTATCTGTCAGACTGCATTGAAGCGTAAACAATGGGAACGTGGAGAACATTTGACTGATAAATCTCATTTAGGCAGATTCCCAACCTTCACAGCTTAGGATTTAGGCAGCAAATGGAACGACAGACGATTCTCCGAAAGTGCATTCAAATTACGTAGCCTTAACTGCATCTGCACAAACTCACAATGTTTGCCAAATATACTCGATGAACCACAGGAACTAGGCAAGGATACTTATGCTTGCCTCATAGATGTTGCTAAAACCCGGGTTTCTTCTGAAGTGTCAGACCATGAGCTGGCTCTTACTAACACGCTGTTTCTCAACGACTGGGGAACTGGCAATGAAGGTAGGGTAGCCAAATCCGTTAGCTTTTCTCTTACGGTCCACCGAACCTATATTTGAGAACGAGAGCGCCTTAGGAAGTCCATTTGGTGCTCCACAAAGCTATCCAAGACTACTAAGTGGGGGATCATTCATGGGAAGTCAACCGTTGAAGCGCAGTATGATAATCAAATGCTACAGGTAGCTAGTCGCTTCGTTGAGCTGGCCCACGTAAAGTTATTATAGGAGATTTTAACTCCCTAGAAGCCAACTTCTTGGGTCACGTTTAGAGGGAATGACGATTCCACTGAAGCCCGATTCTTCAACCTGACGGAGGGACTGGGGCTCACGAAAAATGTGAGATTATTATCATTGCAGAGGGAAGCCTAGAACCCATCCTGCTCAGGTTGCGCAGTCGCAAATGAAGAATCCTCGGCTGGGAATCTATCAATCCTCAATGTATTGGGCGGGTGTGTCCGCAGTGTTGCAGGGTCCTAGTGCGCCTGCCGAACCAAATTAACATGACCCTTCAACTAGTGCCTCTGGAACCGCAAACGACCCAACACTGCAACTCATTGGACTTGTTTGAGCAGATAGAGTGACTATAATAGTAATGATAATGATAATATTTCGAATGATGAATTGTATGAACACATGCCATTTTACGGGCAGCATCCAAATTTTATTTCCTTACCGAAGCTGTAAAAGTTTAGGGAGAGAAAAACCCTCGTGCCATCCAATGTCTTCTGCAGCCAAAACTTTTTGGGTATGGCTTGTCAGAAATATTGGACAAGTGAGGTATGTGGCAAAACAAGAACATCCATTGGAGGCCGATATCTGACGTTATCATGCACGGTGTCAGCTAGTCTCTTCTACCTTCAACGCCAAAATGTTCCAAGTCGGCCAGTGACGCAAAAGTTCTACTGGTAGAGCTCCTAGGTAAGAAAGGTACCACTGAGCCGGACATAAAAGGACTGGTAAAGGGCCTACATACAAATTATTTAAGCAGACAAGGAACATATGAACGCAATGAAAGCCGAATAACAACAGCATCAAGTTAGGTTTACGAAGATGTTCGCTTCTAGCCCGAGAAGTCAGCTGTTATACTGCATCGTTCTGACAGGCAACCGAAGGATTTTCCTAACTATCAAGACCCAGTAGACCGATCACTAGCGACACTGAAGCGAGCAAACTTCTAGCTGATCAGTATTTAGTAGTTTTCTCGTCACAGACCCCCGATTCAGGATTTTACAAATGGCGCACTAACGAGGTAGGACTCAGCCTCTGACTTAGGCGTTGAGCTGGTGCAGCGCAAGCTCATACTACTCACAAGAGGTGCCTTCTTGGGGCCAAACCAAATCGATGCGGTGTAACCGCCGGAGGCAGCATCGATCTTGGCTGAACCTCCCGGCAAGTAAGGATTCTCCAAGACAAGGGAAAGTGTTGAAATCCTGGAAGTTGGGCCACACAACTCTAGTCTCCAAGGGAGGCCAGTGTAAGAACCCGGCAAAGTATTGACCAATGACGTTCTTATCCCTAACCTAAAAAGTCATTCGGTCGTTAATTTATAATTAGATACGGGATTACCAAATTTCTATTAACTTACCCTTGACCCAAAAGCACGGATCTCGAAGCATATACTTCTGCGCTATTAGCCTGCTCAGTGCATTAGATGGACGAGCTTGTACCGTTATTCGTCGAGGTAGAATTGACGTTGTTTGTCTAGATATTTCTAAGGTGCTTAATCGCGTCGATTACGACTGCCATCCCGACAAATCAAAAGTACTCGGGATCAAAACGTCGCTTGCGGACTGATCGTCCTCACACGTTCATGGTCCACTATTTACGGTTCAAGAAAGTCATTCCGTGCTCGAAAAAGGTCCTGATGGAGTACTTCAGGGATCGGTAGAGCCTCTCAGTTTTCCAAGATACGTTAATGACTCGTCTTGATAGGTTTCTTCTGCAGCCCTTCTTTTCGCTGATGCCACGAAACTATGCAGGGAAATCAGAAGTCAGGACGGTGGTGCCCCCCATGGGAAGAAGTCACCCAATTTTAAATGCAAAAGATGAACAACTGACTCAAAATTGGCCCGAAAAACTAAAAGGCCAAACATGTAGAACATGACGTATGTCATTTATGTAGCTCCGAAGGCATGGTACTGAAAGTTTGTCAAATAGAAAAGAATTTGGGTATTTTGGTCACTCAAGACTTAAAATCTCAAGCCAACTGTGACAGAATGGCATTTCAAGGAGACGACGTCAGAAACTCTTGGGCGAAATTTTGGACATTTCGGCCATAGGTGCTTGAAAAAACTACATCAGAGACGTAAGTGGATGAGTTGTGATAACCGGGGACTTAAAAGGCCTGTTACTTCAGAGATCGTAGCTTCGTGAAAACGTCCATGAGGTAAGAGTCTGCGTCCAGTGATGCCTTTGAGGTAAAGACAGAAGTAGGAAAAGGTTGCTTTCTGCCACTGATGATCTTCCTGATTGTAACCTACTGGATCATGCAACGGACTGTGAGAAGTGAGAAGATGATCATGAGCTGTTTGACCAGTGAATAGACACTAGAAGATTTGGATTTCGCCACCGATGATGATTTACGTCTAATGTCGCGCAAACTCGGGGATCTACAAGCAAAAACCAACAAGTTGGCAAAAGAGGCGAGGCGGCCATGGCGGGACTTCAAGTTAAGGTAGAGAAGGCAGAGGCGATGAAGATATCCAACCAACAACAACAAAAACAACAAGCACTGATCACCATCAACGGGAGAAACCTAAAAGAAGTTGTCTCCTTAACCTACCTACCTAGGCAGCAACATTTGCAAATGCAGGTTGCGGCGGCACAGATGGGGGTGTCAAAGCCGGTATCGGAAAAGCAAGATAGGGATTCATTGGTCTGGAATCATTGTGGAGATCCACTGCGCTCAGCATGAGACGTGGGCAAGATCCGGATTTTCGGCACCAAAGTCAAATCAGGGCTTCTATACGGTTCACAGACTTGGCAGGGCGTCTCGAGAAGCATTTCCAGCAAACCGCAGACATTAGTCAACAGCTGCCCACGCTCGAAACTGAAGATCGATCAGATGGGTAGAATTGATAAGCAACAGGGGACTCACACTGGCCAGGCAACGAACCAATGAAGAACCCACCGCCCAACAAATATGCGGAAGCAAGCGGAGAGGGATTGGATTGGATACACACCGGGGAGACCGATTGGGGACATTACGCACCAGACCAAGCCGTCGAGTGGGACCCAGATGGGAAACAATGAGTCAGGCGTCCGAGGCGAGAGTGACATGGATGAGATCGTGTGACGAAGAAATGAAGACTTGTGGGTAGTGGTGGAGCCAGGTTGACAAGACTGCCGAGAAGAGAGTGAAATGGTGACGTGCTACTGAAGCCTTATGTTCCACCAGGAACCCAAAGGACAAATAATAATAATAATAATGGGGGCTTTGATGTGTGAACTGTAACCGATTATGCTGGCCATCAGAGACAAGATTTGTTCCTGGTCTGGATAAAACATCATATTTGTCAGGATATAGCCCGCTTCAAGGTGACGGAAACAGGGAGTGTAAAGTTGGTGGAGTAGTGTGTCCGAGGCATGAACTCCAAATACTAACCGCCACTTTTGCAGCTCATGATAGTGGAACTTGTTACATCGCTAGCTCCGAGATCTCGCATGTATACATGATCGTGATTAAGGTGATCCGCAACAGTTCAACGTTTTGGGCTGATGTCCTCTCGCAGAGTGTATGGGAGATTGTAGAGAAAGCAGCCAT